CTGCATTCGCCAATCGCTGGCTTAAAAGCAGACGGAGTCAGAGTCGGAGTTGGCGTCGGAGTTGTTGTCGTGGGAGCAGATACAAATCGCTAGCTGTCCAGGGGGCAACTACTTGGCGGGGCAAGCAATTAGCGCTAGAATGCCACGTGAATGTTTTACCAAATGAGGCGCTCGACGTACACCAAAGTGCGCGTATCTAATTGAAACGGCCGCAAGCCGAGCCCTGCCCAAACGTGAGAATTTCTGGTGGACATTATCATCAATCTTCCGGCTTGTCAGCGCAGTCAGCTGGCATTGCAGCTGCAGCTGCTCGTCGAGTGGCGGACAGAGTTGAGGCTAGCCACGCGCCGCGAGTGCAGACGGTTAGATCTTGCTCAAATTCAAACCGAAATTAATAAACAGTTACGCATGCGCAGGTTGAAAACGAGTTGCAGCCACAGTTGCAACAGTTGCAGTTTCAGTTGCGACCTGCATCCGAGCATCCGAGCTAGCCGTTGATTATAGATCTTGCCTGTTATTTTGGCAAAACTCTAGTCAGCGCCAGTTGAAGCTCCAGATCCAGCTCGTCCCGACAGCAATTGCAGTAATCAATGCGCTGTTATCAATAACAGCTTGCGGGGCCAAGAACTGAATGCAGAGCAGCGGGCCGAACGCCTGACGACAATTTGTTTGCTTCGTGTCCGCGCATCTAACGGGCCTTTGGAATTTGTCTAAGAAATTGCGCAAACAAAAATTATGATATATCTGGCTGGGGATGCGGCCAGTGGGCAGGATCTGTGATTAGCCAGCCCGCAGCCTGGCGGCACTACGGCAATGGCCGTGCACATATTACGACTGACAGTCAGATTGATGGCCCGATGGGGGCTCATTAAAGCCATGCAGCGCAATCAAAACAAATCAAGCACAGGACACATAAAAAGCCACATCAACTGGGGAAATAAGCAAAAAGGCCTTGTCTAGGATCCAATCCGATGCACAGCAACTGTGGGAACAGAGCTACGGAGCTAGCCTAGCCTTTAACTGCTTAATTACAGCGCCTGCAGGCCGAGTGCCAACTCCTAGTTGCAGACCAAAGTTAAGACTCAGACTCATTATTATCTATTAAGCAGTCAGATTGGCAACGAAACAAAAAATAAAAAAAGGAACGTCAAAAAGCAAAAGTTGCGCCCCAATCTGACAACCTGACTGACTGTCTAATGACACTGCCCGTTCCGCAGGGATGCAGCGATACTCAGAGCTGGCCCTCGCCTGGGCTCCGCTCGCCATAAATGCATATGCATATGAGCTGCTCGTTTGCCTGTGGTGCAGTTGCCAGCAATTACAATGCTCACATATAGACAGCCAAGGATTGCTGGGCCTGCGCCTAGCTCTTCGTAATTGTTTCATATGCATAGCACCAGCAGCAGCACCAGCAGCAGCAGCGGCAGAGGCAGCATCATTGACTGCAGCAACAGGCAGCAATTTCACGGCATCCTCGTCATGACCAGCGGGCATAATTTACTTAGAACGAATCATGTCTAGGCCGGCTGGTAATAAAACACAGCGTCACGCCAGGGCCAAAGCCAAGGCCCACAACTAGCAGCATCATCAGGCAAGCATGGAGCCTGGCGCAACTGCGTCCAATTTGGCTGCGCAAGGAGCCGACACTGCCGCTGCCTTTACTGCTGCTTCTGCTGCTGCTGTGGATGATGTCGACGTCTACATTGCTACCTTGTCCCCGACATAATCATGTTAAATTACTCGCAAATTCATTTGCTGTGCGCGGCTGCTGCCTCCGTTGGGCGCATTGTCGGCGCTCCGCCAGCCCCAGCTCCCTCCCCTTGCCCACAACTCATCCGCTTTCAACACTAATGCATGGCGCATGATATGGCGGCACACACACATAGCCTCTGCGGCTGGGGCTTGGGCTTGTTCATGGGTTGTTAGCTTGTCGCTCACTCCATATTGATCGAGTCGGCATTATGGAAATTATGTGATCAAGGCCATAGAAAATGGAAATTGTTTTGCGCAAGAAAAAATTTGCATGCCTCCTGCTGCCGCTTGTTGCCTTATGCCTGGCATAATTTCTGTTTTCCTGCCATTGCATAATTGAGCCAGGCCAATGCGATCATCCAACTCGAGCTGAGYTGAGCTGAGGCTGGGCAATTATAGTTCGATATATTGCATGTGCAGTCGGTGCATCCCTTGTTGGTGCATTGTTCTAGTCGCTGTCCAGGGAGCTCTTCGCCCTGGATGGCTCTAATTACGTTCATCTATATCAAGGCAGTCTGTGAGCTACTTGCAACTTCCTCTTGCCGCCCATGGATAGAAGAGCCATCGCAACGGCATTCTAGCCTTTAAGGTCTTATCAGCTAGCCACACACACACACACTATATATATATATCTTGACCAGGTGGGGCGTATGCTGTGGGTGTGCTGCCATTGCTGCTGCTGCAGCTGTTGGTCGTCGCCAAAGTAGCGGTAAAGTTGCTGCCGCGTTTGGCACCGCACAACAGCAACACACACAAAAATGGCGCATTTGGGGGAACATGGCTTTGGCAATAGCTGTGGCTGTGGCCCAAAGGAAGATTTGTGTTTATTTTGTAATCTTTGAAATATTTGTGGCATGGCAAATATTTCACTAGCTGCGTTTCCGCGTAGCGCATGCGGACAGCCATGAGGATGAGAGGCAGTGAGCTGGAGTCGAATTGAAAAAGGAACGATTGCTATCAACGAAATATTTAGCGAAACTTCCACTTTTCACATGCCTGGCGCGCTGTCCCCCCTAACTGGCCCCGTCCGGCTGGTGGCTACTCTGTCTTCCTGCACTCGCCCCGCCAACAGCAACCGCCTGCGTATCCACCTACAGCACTAAATAATAAAGCGTAACCAGCAAAAGGCGTGCCCGCTGCCTTAGCCTGGTCAATGCGGCTGTATGAGACAGAGTTAGAGTCGCAGCCAGAGTCACAGGCAGAGGCAGAGGCAGAGGCAGAGGCAGAGCCAGAGCTACGGCACCTAAGCCTAAGTCTAGGCCTACTTATGTAAGTAAAGCCAGCTAGTGGCTTGTATTTTATGGTTTGTGTACACATTTTTGCACACATGCGCGACCGGGTCGTTCAACTTGCTGCTGCGGCGGCGGCAGCAGCAACAGCAGCAGCCATCCAGCCATGGCCATGGCCATGGCCAAGAAACATTCGGGATGCGAGGCGTGCGCGCGCTTTCCTAGAATAAACAAAATGCACGACTCTTGCGACAGCAGCAACAGCAACAGCAACAACAACAACAGCAGCAGCCAACGCCGCCAACAACTTTGGCTTGGCCCGAAGCTGCAGTCATGTGAATGTAGCTGTAAGCTGCAGCCAAATCAACACCAACAACAACAACTACTAGCTTGACTGACTAACTGACTGACTGACTTCTGTTTGTTGGACCGACACGACCATGTTTGATGTGTACCATCAACAGCCGCAGCAGCAGCAGCGGCAGGCAAACGACGACGACGACGGCGACGACGACTCTCATGCGTCTTGGTCATCATCGTCGTGCTGATGCTGCCAACAACTCGTATGTGGCTTGTTTCAGTTGTTGCACTTGCAGCGGAAAATTGTTGCATAAGTTTGCATTACGAGGCGGCCAACTGGGAACTGGGAACTGGGAGCTGGGCAACTGGGCAGTCCGATTGCGGGGCGTGTTGCCAGCGAACCGGCTGCATGGCCGACTCCCATTGCCGTTTGCTACCACGTCCGCCCGATGTCGCCTTCAACAACCATCCTGCTCTAGCTCGCTCCCCTCTCTCCCTCTCTCTCTCCACCCCTCCCTCTCTGTTACTCTAGGCTGGCAATCCTTAACAGTTAATGTGTGAATTTTTATGCGTTACCAGGCTCGGTCGTGGCTCTTGTTGTTCTTCTTACCGCATAAAACGTAATTTACATCCGTTACTTTGAAAAAGTAAGATGTTGCAGACCAACAACAGCAGCAACAGCTCCAGCAGCAGCATCAACACCAAAACACGGAACTCAGCCACAGCCTGGCTATTGAAATTGCTACTCTGATTTGTTGCTGCCCATTCTATTGGCTCAAGCCTGGTCAATATAATGCTTATAAGCATTTGCCGTTACAATTTTCATTGTTATTTCGGCTGGAGTGCACTGTAAATTATATTATCGTCTGGCAAATTCTGCATGCAGCCAATCGAGCAGAAATTAACATTTGATACATGTGGCGAATTGTCAGCCCTTCAACTGGCCGCAATTAATCATAGTTGGCCCAGCAACAACAACATCAACAGCAGCAACAAAACCATTCATAACAAAATGCAATTTGTCAAATCATTTTAGCAGCAGTTGCTGCTGCTGCAACAGCATATTGCTGCCGTGGTCGTGTAAACGCCACCGCAGCAGCAGCAACTGACCGTCAGTTGCCGGTTAACTGTCAGCTTAAACAATTTGTTTGAGCCATTTTTTAGCGGCTCTCGCTGCAGTTGGCCCAGTGTGGGACACACACAGGCTGAGATTCTCCATGGCTAGAACCAGCTACGTGCCATTATTTCTTGCATTCTCTGCTTTTGCTGTTGCTGCTGCTGAATTTTGATTATGTGGTAATAATACGTTGCACGCACACAAAGCCGAGCACTGCAAAAGTTTCTGCTGCTGCGGCAATTTGCTGCCCGCTTGTTGCATGCTGCCTGTTGCATGTTGGCCAGCGGCGGTCGAGCCCTGTTATCAGACGACGCTGGCCTATCAACGAGTACCAGGAATAGAATGAGTGAGCCGAGCCACTAGAGCCAAGTGCTCAGACATCGGCCTACGCAAGTTTGCAGCCGACGTCTAATTTCAATTGCATGCAGGCACAATTAGAGGTCCGGCATTCGCTGTAATAGATAAATTAATTTATTATAGTCATGACGACTAACGGATATGGCCATCATGAAATTCTAACGTAATAGACCAAATACCTATGGCATTTCCTACAAATATGAAAACGAAATGCTAATTGTTTCCCTCTTCCTCTTTCATTGCAGCTCCCGTGCAGGAGTATACGGAAATAACGCCGTATCCAGGTGAGTGAAATAAAGCATATCTATCTAATACAATGGTAATAATAATAAATCTCAAAAGTTCGACTAGGATTTAGCTTGAGCTAATAATTCAATTTGGATAGCGAATTATAGCATTAACGTTAATTGAGCCTCCCTTTACGGCCATTTAACACTGTTTGAATCTAACCGCCTAATCGACTACAAAAGACCAATAACTGACCCACAACAGTCATAAAAAAAAAAAAAAAAAAACAAAACAAACCCAGTAGACTGACTGGGGAATTATGTTGAGCATTATTAGGCGGTTAGCTGAGGTGTGAAAAACCACACGAAATAATTTTAAAATGCGGCAGCTGACTAGCAGATACCCTTTATTTTGTGGGATATGTGATAAATGAATGTCTCAATTATTGTTTTCCGAGTATTCGAATATCTTGAAGAACCTATTAGTTAGCTTGCAATTTGTAGATATTCTCTGTGTACCACACTTACACAGAAGTTACAGGGTACACACATATCTATAATGAAATAAACATTATACAATGAAATAAATAGTCTTTTAGGAGGTTTATGATGAAAACGTGAGCACCAGACAGACAGGCAGACAGACAGCGACACCAAAGATTTCAATCAAAATTTGTCTAGCCAGCGAGTCAGTCGAATAGGCCGACAGCAACAAAGTTCAAGCTGAAGCCGTAGCTGAGAAGACGTTGGCGGGGAGCTGCTGCAAGTTGCGCTTGACGTGTTAATAATGTGATTTGAAATTTATTGCGGGTGGACGGCAGTAAATTAGGTAGCTGTACCCAGTATTCAGTAGCCATAGACAAGGCATACGTCTGTTGAGCGTGGCTTGGCGCTTGAGTTGTCGCTGTTTAACGACTCTGATGAGCCATAAAAGATATCTATGGCTGCACGTATTATGACATTTGATGGCGCTGGAACTTAATTTATGACCGAAACGGCATAGTAGCACACACGAGCTAGTTAAGAATGCATAACAGGGAAATGCTGGGGAGCTAACTGTTCATATTACTTGCACTGCCATATATATTAAGTTGTTGAGGTAGGTAGGCATTGTTCTATGGTTCCCAGGCCTGCTCCAGTTACACTTAGCTGGTTTTCTAATGAATCGCTACTTTCTTTTCGCTTATTGCAGAGGGCTGCTACTACAACTATGGCCATTACAATGAAGGTGACCGCATCATGACCAATGAGCCGTGTCTGAACTGCACCTGCCACAACCGCATGCTCATGTGCTATCTGCGCGTTTGCCCATTCACTAAGCCAATTGGTCAGGATTGCATTGTGGAGAAGCGCGAGGACCAGTGCTGTCCTATCGTTACCTGCCCAGTGGGTAAGTTCTATTAGCTATATTTTTATGGCGCAGTCATTTCAATTACGTGCTGCTATTTCAGTTCATGTCGAAGTGCCGTATCGTACGCCCGAGCCTGGAACTGAGCTGAGCATACCCGAAAAGTTCGGCTGCAGCATTGAAGAGAAGTTCTACCCGGAAGGCGCCCAGGTGCCATCGAACCCGAACAAACCCTGCGAACTCTGCTACTGCATTAACAATCAGACCAAATGCGTTATGCAGGAGTGCACCCTGCATGTGGATGGCTGCACACCCATCTACAACAAAGGCTCTTGCTGTCCAGTCCGATACAGTTGCGGTAAGTACTCGAAACATTTGCCTCTCAAAGTCAAGTCTCATTTACGTTTCGTATTTCGCAGACCATGAGAACGATGTTCTTGAGCTGGAGGACCATTCCACAACAACGACCACAGTTCGTCCAACACCTGGTTTTATTCTGACCACTACCATGACTCCGGCCGTGTCGACGGATTGCATCCACAACGGAGAAACCTTCGCCGATGGAGCCTCCATCGAGGGCAAGAATGCTTGCGAGCATTGCTACTGCATGCGCGGAGATATTGTGTGTGCCGTCCAAGAGTGCGAGATGCCAATGAGTACGGCCAGTGGCAAAACATGCCGTGCCATGCCAGCTGCCGAGGGCGAATGCTGTCCGAGCAACTATATTTGTGATGATGATAGTACCACAACTGAAAGCATTGAATCCACCACACTGGAGACGAGCCGAGATGAGGAGCCAACTGCTACAGCATCGCCAGTCAAGGATATACCCGGTGAAATACCGAAGGAGGATCTCGACTTGCAAGAACACATTGATGATAAGAAGAAGGATGAGGACGCGATCACTGAAGGTCCACTTGAGGAAGCTGGCAGTGGGGAAGTTGATCAAGAGGAGACCACAGTCGCTCCGACTCATGACGATAAGATTAAGGAGAAGGAACCCGAAACATCTACTGTGGTCACGGATGCTAGAATTGATACTCCAGCGGAGTCTTCTACGACGTCGATCGAAGAAGGTAGCGGTGAGCAGGATGTCAGCAAGGCGACAACGCCTCCAGCAGTGGGAGCTGACAAGCCCGCAGAGCCAACTAAAGAGGGAAGCGGAGAAGAGACGACACCCACTTTATCTGAGGAAGGTAGCGGGGAAGTCGACACTACATCCGCACCTTCATCCCAAGAAACCAGCCCCGAAAGTGAAGAAGATATTGTCAAGACTTCCACACCTGTTGCACCAACCGGAATTGCTGAAGATGGTCAGGACGCTACGACACCTACTGTTGATGTTAGCGACAAAGAGGAAGTGCCGAAAGAGACAATTCCATCTGTGGGTCTTACTGGCGAAGAAGATGTTCCCAAGGGTACAACTCCAGCTTCTGCAGTCACCGATGAAGAGGACGCCTCGAAGGCAACAACTCCAAGTGAAGATGTCACCGAAACAGACGATGTGGCCAGGATTACCACTCCAACATCTGACATTAGCGATAAGGAAGATGCTATTAAGGGTACAACTCCTGCTCCAGATGTTAGCGATGAGGAAGAAATTGCCAAGCCTACAACTCCAACTGAACTTACGGATCAGGAAGATGGTGTCAAGGCGACAACTCCAGCAGTGGCTAGTGATAAGGTTGATCAAATTGAGTCTTCAACACCAACCTCAATTGTTAGCGACAGCGAAGAAGTTGCCAAGGGCACAACTCCAGCCGCTGACTCTGGAGACAAGACTGAGGAAATCGTTCCAGCTACAGAGAGTGATAAGGAAGAAGATGTCAAGGCCACAAGTCCTGCTGCAGATGAGGACTTTAAGGTTACAACTCCAACCGCTGACACTGATAAGGAAGACGACCTTAAGGTTACAACTTCAGCCACAGATGTTTCCGATAAAGAAGAAGTTACAACTTCCGAGTCCGATGAGGAAGATGTTGTCAAATCTACAACTCAAGCCCCAGATGTTAGCGAGAAGGGTACATCTACAGCCTCCCAGCCCGATGAGGAAGATGTGGTCAAAGCAACAACTCCAGCCTCAGATTTCAGTGACAAGGGTACATCTACACCTTCCCAGGCGGATGAGGAAGATATTGTCAATGCTACAACTCCAGCCTCAGATGTTAGCGACAAGGAAGAAGCTGGAAAGGCTACAACTCCAGCAATTGAAGTTGATGAGGAAGAGGTTGCCAAGGGTACAACTCCAGCTGCTGAATATGAGATCAAGGTTACAACTCCAAGTGCAGATAGCAAAAAGGATGAGGATGAAGTCAAGACAACCACGCCAGTCGCTGATGTTAGCGAGAAGGTTGATGTTTCTACGGGAACTACAGCTGAAGAAGACACTGTCAAGGCAACAACGCCAGCCAAGGAAGTCAGTGGTGAGGAAGATATTATCAAGGAAACAACTGCTGCCCCAGGAGAAGAAATTTCTGAACAGGATACTAGGAAGCCCGACACTTCTGCCACTTCTACAGATGAAATTGCTGAAGAAGATATTGTTAAGGCTACAACTCCCGCTGCTGAGGGCATTGATACTACCAAGGAGAGTACGGATGATATTGTTAGAGCTACAACTCCTGCTGGTGCTACTGATGAAAAGGCTGAAAAGGCGACCACACCTGCAAAGGTTGATATTGATATTACTAAGGACACAACTCCTGCTGAAGATGTCAGTGCCTTCACTGAAACTACTGCTGCGGCTGAAATTATCAAGTCTACGACTCCTGCAGGCGAGGACATTAAAAAGGATACTGACAAAGCTACAACTGTTGCTGAACAGGCCGGTGAAGATATTTCTATCCAGACTACGCCATCTGCTGAAGAAGCTAGCAGCGAGAAGGACAAGGACGTTGTTAAGCCCACTGGAGATGCTAGCTTTGAAGAAGTCATTCCTAGCACAACTTCTGATGAAGACACCACCAGCGAAAAAGAGGAGGTTAAGGGTACAACTCCAGCTGCTCAGCCCATTAAGCCAAGCACACCTAAAACTGAAGAGGACCAGACAACAGAGTCTGACGAATACTCCACAGAAGAGGATTCGGTTCAGACAACAACAACGCCAGCTCACATTTCATCATCTACCACTGAAGGTGTCAGTGAGCAGGATACCTCAGACGTCAGTTCAGAAGAAGATACGCCCGCTGTGCAAAGCACCACAGCTTCTCCCAAGCAACCTGAAGACCAAGAAAGCGACGAGAAAGAATCTGTCGAGGATCATACTGAGGAACCCAAAAAGGATGTCACGGAAACATATGATGAAGCTACTACTATCGAAGCAGAAAAAGAAATTGTTTCTTCCACTAGTGCAACACTTGGTAAAGAGCCCACTGAAGAGCAAACTACACAAGCAGTGCCTGTCAAGTCTGATATTGCTCCTTCTATCACTGAAGCTGATCAAAGCACGGCCCAACCTGAAGAAAGTGAGGAAGCCACAACCGATAAGCCATCAACACTCTATCTGCCTCCTGTGTCGGAAGATGAACCAAAAGGCACCGAGATCCCAGAAACCAGTGAAGAAGATCTCACTGCATCCACTGAGGAGGAATCATCTGAGCCTGCTAAGGTTACACCTGAGAAACAAGGACCAATTGATACCCGTCACGACTTCACCCCAGAGAGTACAACATTGGCACCCAGTTCAGAAGAGGATTCAACAGCAGCAGCAATGCCTGATATGCAGCTGCCGAGTGGTATACCTGGTGAAGGTGACTGCCTGGTTGAAGGCAAAACATATACTAACAATTCCGATGTACCAGCAACCACTCCCTGCGATAGATCCTGCAAGTGTATTAGCAGTATTGTATCATGCAAGCCAGTGGAATGCAGAATTCCTGCAGATAGCGAAAACTGTGTTCTGGATAGCGATCATTCTGACGGCTGCTGCCCAACGTACATTTGTGAGTCTGATTCCACTACTCCGAAAGCCGTTGACACTTCTGATGAAACCAAATCAACAACAATCGTTCCCGAAACAAGTCATGACGTGGAGCCCACTACAACTGAGAACATACCAAAGGAAGTCATTATACCTTCTGGCATTACTGAGCTGCCAATGTCACATGTTAAGCCAGATGAAGAAGTCTTACCCGTAACCACACAAACCCCCCTTTCCGAAGAGGTTACAACACAAAAAGATGTTAAGAAGCCAACTGACGGGGAACCAACTGAAGAAGGAGGCGATAAAATGGTGGATGCTACTCCTGCACCTGAGAAAGAAGTTCAGAAACCTCATGAGAAGGAGCCCACACCTGAAGATGATGCCGTCAAGGAAACTGCAGTGCCAACAACAGAGAAAACTGTTAGTCAACCAGAATATGAGCCAACAACATCCGCTTCAGCTGCAGATGACACCCAAAAGAAGACAGACGATGAGTTGGCTACACCAACCACTGCTCCTACTTCAAGTGATGATGAGACTAAAGGAGAGAAACCCGCTGACGAAAAATTGGGAGCCACCGAAGATAAGATTCCCGCAACTACAATCGCTCCTACATCTACTGAGACAACTAATAAATATGAGGAAGAGCCTTCATCCACAGAAGCACATGTTGAAGAAATTGATAAGAAACAAGTTGAAGATTCTGAAAAGATTCCCGAATCATCCACGACCACACCATCTGAAAGCGAGGACGTCACGACTATTGCTTCACCTGCAGAAGGTTCTGTATCTTCAGATGGCAAGCCTTATAGCCCTGAAGACAGTTTTGCTCCGACTACTGCTCGCCCTGAGGCCGAAGAAGATCAAGACAAAAAGAAACTCTCTATCCCAGAGGCAGCCACAGAAATACCAGATGTATCGGAGGCAGATGAAAAGAAACCTACAGATGAGGTGGCAATCACTGAGTCCACTATTGAAAAGAAACCAGCGCAAAGCTCGGATATTCCAGACAAGGTTTCCACAATTGATGATGATCAATCCACCTCCACTCCCGCTGTCGGCAAGGTGCAGGATGAAACCACTGTCTCTCCTGTTGCAATTGATGAAGAAAGTGATTTGTCGACAGAAAAGTCCACATCTGAAGTGGAAGATGTCGTTTCTGTTACCAAATCTCCTGAAGACGACTTTGCACCGCTCCAAACAACTGTGCCCTCAACAGTCCCAGAAGATGATAAAAAACCATCGCAAGGTGAAACTGCAACTGAAAAGGATGAAGTCGAGCTCGCATCAGTACCTTCAGTTACTGTTTCTCCAGCTGCTGATAAGGATGAGCCATCTATTACAGCCTCGCCATCTGCAGATAAGGAAGATACACTTGGTCAAACGACAGACAGAACTCTACCTGAAAAGTCAACAGAGGATAAATCGGAGGAGGAGCCCTATACAACTTATGCTCCTGCTATTGATGTATCTAAGAAACCAGAAGATGAAGTACTTCCATCTCAGGCAGATGATAAACCTGATAGTAAGGTGCCAGCAATCTCAACATCTACACCATCTGATACGAAGGATCAAGAAGATGAAGAGTCTACTACAGTGTCCATATCCGTCAAGGATGAGGAACCACAAGTTCCACTCGAAGAGTCCACAACTACAGCTCCCTCCGTTCAAGATCACACCAAGAAAACATCAGACAAAGAGGAAGAAGAGAGTTCCACAACATCGGAGATTGATGAGGTTACAAAAACTCCAAGCAAAGAAGGAGAGCAGTCGTCTGCTGAAAGTACATCAACCTCAGTGGCACCCCCAGAGATTGCGATTGACGTCACAACTATTGCACCCAGCACTGAGGAAGAGCCAAGTACAGACAAGCCCATTGACATTGAAGGTTCCAAAACGCCATTGGAAAGTGAAATGCCCGAAGATAAAACTCCTTCAACAACTCCTCAATCTCTTATCGAAGAGGCTCCAGAGTCCTCAACTAAGATTCCAGAGGATACTGATAATGACTTGGAGCAATTTACTACAGTTTCGCCTGCTTTGCAAGGAGTGCCCTCTGAACCGTTTGATGAAAAGATTCCTTCCACATCTGATGAAGGGGATAGCACGGAAGAAAGCTACGCTGGAACCACTGTTGAACCACAAGCTACAGACGACAAGAAATTCCCGTCTTTGTCTACAACCCAATCATCAATTGCGCCCGAAAAGGATATTAAGACACCGAGTACTTCCGATGAAGAAGTTGATCAAGAGCCACCTACAGACACTGATTCCACGACAGTTGTTCCATCGTCAGAGGAAGAGGATCATATTCCTACTAAGGTGTTCCCGACAGCAGCGCCAGTTGATAAATCTGATTCAACAACCACTACACCTGCCGAAGAAGAGATTGTTAAAGTACCCAATCAGGGCGAAACCCAACCTAAGCCAGATGATAGCGAAGAGTCGACCACAGTTTCGCAAGCAACCGATAAGCCATTGGACACATACCCAAGCAAAGTCCCAGCTATGGATGAGCTTGAAGGGGATAAGGATCTTGACTCTACAACAGTGCGTCCAGACGATAAGAAGATTATCTCCACTTCTACATCTTCTGATGACGACATTCAACAACCAACTACCCCTGCTGCTACTTCTATTAAAGTGGAAGTCACTACTTCGGCTGCTGATGAGGAGTCTGATGTTAGTACGGCTGCACCAGCGGTTGCTCAAGACGATGATACAGAGGGTACCACAGTCCGTCCGCTTAGTGATAAGACAGGTGTCGCAGAAGAAGGTGCCGTTGAGGATACCATTTCAACAACACCCGAGTCCGAGGAGGACCAAGAGCCTGCTCGTATTCCCACCACACCCACTCCGATTCATATTCCTGGTGCTGAAGGCGATGTCACATCACAGACTGTTCCACCTCAAAGTGAAGACGAAAAGATTGTCACAGAATCTGCCACAACTTCAGCTGAAGATGCGGATAAGACTGCTGTTACAGTTGCCCCAGTTGCTGCTGATGTTGAAGCAACTAGTGAAGTTAGCAAGAAACCATCTGATACAGAAGACGTGGGTGAGCAATCTACCGAGCCAAGTGATATTGAGCATGAGGGCACCACTGATCAATCTACTGGTGCAAAACTGAAGCCACCAACACCAACGCCAACGACAACAGGAGATGAAACTTCAACTAAGCAACCTGTGGAGGATGAAAATATTGTGGCAGCAACTGCACAGCCTGATCTCGAAAAGGAAACCCCAAGCAAATCTACTGAGGCTCCAGAGTTGGAGACACCAACAACGCCATCCGATACAGAAAAATCGACTAAAGCTCCAGCAGTTAGTCCCAGCTTGGAATCGACCGAAGATGCAGATGAGTCTGTTGAGTCGGAGGAGGAACATACTACTGTATCTGAAGATACCCATAAGGGAGAAGAAGCTGCAGAGTCTGCAGAATCTGAGGACACCGTTACAGAGCCTGCCATAAAGAAACCTGAGGTCGATGAGGAAGAAATTCCAGCTGTTGTCTCAGAGTTACCACAGACAACAGCTACACCTACTGCTCATGATGAAACATCTGCAGAAGTATCCAGCGAGGGTACTCCTACAACACAACCAGATGTCGCCAGTATTACAACGATACATCCGCTGTTCGCCCAGCGCTTCAGCACTACACTTTCTCCAGTCATCGCCGACAGAGTGTCAGAAGAGGAAACTGATGCTACGCCGACGAAGCAAAGCACTGAGACATCAACAAGCGAGTCTCCGCTTACAACAACTTCCCCGACTACCCCACAACACGAGTCGATTACACCTCCGTCATATGGTCATCAGCCACAATATCCATCTTACCCAGAAGACGAATACGACGAAGAGGAGGTGTTCGGCCCAGGCACGTGTCGCTATGCTGGCAAAATCTACGTGTCCGCGCAGCAAATCCCACGCGACGATCCTTGCGACTTCTGCTTCTGCTTCAGAAGCGACATCATCTGCTTGCAACAATCTTGTCCGCCACCAATAGCTGGCTGTCACGAGGAGCAAATCACTGGCTTCTGTTGTCCACGATACGAGTGTCCCGTAACCATGGCCGCCGTGCTTAATATTACGACAAGCACGACAACAACTAGCACCGAACTGCCACCGTTCATGACGAGCCTATCCCATGGCAGTGAAGTGACCCGCACCGGCTGCAGCATTAATGGCCGTTCGTACATGGTGGGCGAACCCATCCACTCAACGAGTGGTCCTTGCATGAGCTGCATGTGAGTATAAAGTGGATTGTACCCAATGAAACTGTGATAATTGATCCTTATAAACAAATTTCAGCTGCGGCGGTGATGGCCAGATGAAGTGCGACCCACAGCGCTGCGTCCCGAATCCAACAACGGCCCAAATGATGGCATCAGCTACGACAGGCCGTAAAAGATGAACCACCAGCCATGCACACTAAAAATAGTTTTAACTAATTTTTAAGCACTGCAAACTAAACAATCAGAAGCACAGATGAACAAACAGCCCAAATTGCACCCACAGAGCTGCATTCCTCACGTTTTTTGAAGGAACAACCAGAAAATAGAAATAATAGACTCTGAAATAGCAACAGAAACAAAACAAAACATATAAAAACAAAAAAAAAATCTCACACACAAAAAAAAACTAAGGTGCCAAAACTGGTGAAAATATTGCGACCCCACTTGATTAGATTCAAATAATATCAGATCGAATGAGAAAATTTGTAACTTTAGATTTGCCATTAGATATTCGCACTTTTTTTCAATTGATTTTCAATTTGTTTCGGAATAGGTTACGTGACGAAGCAACCAGTGATATTGTACTGTATACATAGTATAGGTGCAATTAATTTAGAACGCGCTCACTAAAAATGAATTACTTATATATTTTGAAAGAACCCCATATATAGCCAACCATAGCATCGTACGATGCGCCTTGTAAAGTTGTTCTTTGTGGTCCCATACTTTCAGGAGACTCTCAAAACCTAGAACAGAACATTATGGTATCCCAATCAATAACTTTACGAAGCCCCGACGTTTTGACTATGGACAAGCCGATTCTTTTTGTTTGTTTTTAATAGCAATACTTTCCTTCAATGCGCTTTTATAGTATTTTAGTCATCTTATTTTAAACATTATTATTTTTTGTGTATAATTGTTGCTTCTAGTCTTCTTTTGTTGTAAGAGCAACGAAATCCGCCTAAAAAATGCGCAAAATAAGATCAAATTAGATCAGTTCAATTGAGTTGAGATAATGATAAAAATATATACATATATCTTCTATGAACTTCCCCATGCTTTTATACTTTTATATACAATATGTGTAAAATGAACAAACGAACGAAACTAGTTTTATAGCAATTTTACAAACGAACTACGAATTGCATAGTTTTTAATGGATTGAATTTAAAGTTGATGTCAATGCATTTGCGCTACCCACGCACAAATCCATCTGTGGTAGGAAACAAAAGAAACGTAATTAACCTAGAGTTTTTTTTAAAGTCAACTGACAATGGACACTATAACAAGCAATCGAATCAACTGTAGGCTATAGCTATTGCTCGACTGATTGAAAGGTGCACTAAAAGCGTAGATATTGAAGTAGTCAATAAATTTGTAAACTATATATTTTGTAGGATATCAACATGCCGCGTTGGTATTAATTTAAATCGTCTAACATCAATTTGCAAATATCAAATATTTCAGTCACTTGAGCTTTAGAGATACGCTGAAAATTCGAAGCGTTATTAAACCACACACAATAATTATGAACAACAATTAGATTTATATAATCTCTAAATATAGTTACAGTTTTTAAGTATTTAACTATAAAAATAAATAAATAAATTTTAATGTAGAACTTATTTATTTTATATGTCTTTTAAGAACAGCTCTTGTGTTTCCATAATTATCGTAATTTATATGCAAGCTTTCTTTGTAATCTTATAAATAAATAAAACGCTTTTTATTGAAATGTATAGATGAGCGTGTTAATACCTGATAGACAACTGAGAGACATAAAAGTAGTTGATTTTTTTAACTAATTCAAAATGCTTAGATAATTATAAGCCTTTTAACAACGTTATTCCTGCTCCTATGAAAGAAATTTCAATGCCATAAAATTGTTGTTGATGCTCTCGACTTTCGGTTGAAAAATCAAAGGTTGAGTTGATAGGTTCACTACATTCCTTATAATTTTAGTTGTCATTCTATTTTAATATAGATTGGCTCTGATCATTAAGCATGCAGACTGTATTAAAAAAATAGCTATAACGAATTTTCCATTTGAAATTTCATATTTGAATATATTTTGCCAGTACAGTTCTTATCGATAGTTTTTATCGAGTACCTGTACCTGTTGTCGAACAAAGTGTCACCACCAAAAGCAGACAAAAACAGCTGAAGAGCAAATTAGATCGGCAGCCTGCACTGCAGGTGCTAATGCAATATTTCTTTTTATATGGCGTGACGTAGTTAAAACACTTCGATCAACACTTAGTATTAGAGTAAGCTAAATGAAGATGGCCAACATATCAACAATAAACTGGCTGTTTGTGTGCGGTCTGTCCTTTTGCCTTGGAGGCATTGCGGTGCTCAGTTTTATGCCGCTCAGCTCAGGTAAAGGTTAATAATAAATGTCTATAAATATACTTTGGCATATTTTTCATTTTAGATTGCATATGCCCGCTTAAGAATCCTCTGAGTAGCTTTAGTGGAGGCGAGCAGCTGAGCAAGAATCTAATCAGCCCTCAATCGGGACATAAAATGGCCATTTTGGTGCCGTTTCGTGACCGGTTCGAGGAGTTACTTCAATTCGTGCCGCATTTGACAAAGTTTTTACGCAAACAGGGCGTGGAGCATCATATCTTTGTTCTGAATCAAGTAGACAGATTCCGATTCAATAGAGCTTCACTTATCAATGTTGGGTTCCATTTCACCAGCGATGTCTACGACTATATTGCCATGCATGATGTGGATCTACTGCCACTCAACCAAGACTTATTATATGAGTACCCCAGTAGCTTGGGGCCGCTGCATATCGCCGGGCCCAAATTGCATCCGAAATACCACTACGACAACTTTGTTGGTGGCATTCTGTTAGTGCGTCGTGAGCACTTTACTCAAATGAACGGAATGTCTAACCAATACTGGGGCTGGGGACTAGAGGACGACGAGTTTTATGTGCGAATTCGGGACGCTGGCTTGCAGGTCACGCGTCCCCAAAACATTAAGACTGGCGTGAACGATACTTTTAGGTAGCATCACTGCGTGTAGATCTCTAACTCATAGCATTAAAAGAATTTTTCTTTTAGGCATATACACAATCGCCACCATCGCAAACGGGACACACAAAAGTGCTTTAACCAAAAGGAGATGACACGAAAGAGGGATCACAACACGGGTCTGAATAATGTCAACTACAAAATACTTAAGGTACATGATCTGTCGATCGATGGGGTAAACATAACAGTTCTTAATATACTACTTGATTGTGATGTAAATAAAACGCCTTGGTGCGACTGCTCGGGAACAGCTGCAGCTGCTTCCGTCGTACAAACTTAGTTCTAAATAGAAGAAAAAGCCAAGTTTTGTCCATTTTGCCTATCCGAATCTTAAGCTATGTTTATTTGTCTATTCGCATGGGGATAATTCACCGTTTGTTAGTATACGTGAACCATGCCATACAAGAATGTCCAGAAGAGCACGTAGGTGCAAAGGCCGCCCATGAATTGGTTCGTCAGTAGGTTTTTGCGGTTAATGAAATACTTGCGCCACTGTGTGCCCGACTTGACTAGCACCAGCAGCCAGAGCACGAAAACAGACAGAAAGTAAAAGAGGAATCCAAGGGTTCCGCTCAGTCCTAAGATACCTATAAAGGGAATGTGGGTTACTATCAATAGATAATTTCAATTAATCAATGTACCAGCAGCGCAGCCGGAGATTGCAGCCATTGACGTACGACAATACTCGACCGCAGATATATTATTGCGAATGGCGCCCTCACTGTACGCAACAATTTCGCCGGTTTTTGAAGTCCGTGTTTTTACGCGATTCATTTTATTAAATTTTTTCTTTCAGCAGACGAAAAATATAATTACTTGCTAGAGTTTTAGGCAGTCACAGCTAATAAATGAACTTTTGCCAGTCACGTTGAGCACATTCAACTCACAGCTGAGATGTATCGATAGTTTTGTGTCGACTCAGTCGGAGAATGGTTCTTTCACAAACACGGTGCGAGAACAACAGAAGAGGGCTCCATTAATTAAAATGTGTGGTGATAACGAAACTTACTAATTTATACGTGTTGAAATCGCGGGGTGAAATGTGTAATTAAAGAGGAGGTTTGGAAAGGAAAATGTTTGAGGACGAACAACAACCATAAGTGCTATTAAAAGAAGTATCGCTAAAAGCTAAGCAAGTTTTCGCGGCCAGCCCACAACAAAGCAGAGCAATTAAAAAATCAATCACAATTCTAATTGAAAGCTGGGGAGACAGAAGCAGAAACAGAGGCAGAGGTAGGGCTCGGCAATATGTCACCCCCTAAGAACTGTGCCGTGTGCGGCGACAAGGCGTTGGGGTATAATTTCAATGCCGTTACTTGCGAAAGCTGCAAGGCATTCTTTAGACGCAATGCGCTGGCTAAAAAGCAGTTCACCTGCCCATTTAATCAGAATTGTGAGATTACCGTGGTTACCCGCCGTTTCTGCCAGAAGTGCCGTCTGAAAAAATGCTTGGATATTGGAATGAAAAGCGAAAACATTATGTCCGAGGAGGACAAACTAATCAAGCGTCGAAAAATAGAAAACAATCGTGCCAAACGTCGTATGATGGAGCACGGCGGATCCGATGCAGACGCAGATGGCGATTACAACAAGGTAGCCGGTGCTGTTGCCGATAGTAGCTCTAATGTGGACATGTATGGTGGCTCGCAAGACTCCCAAAGCTGCGGCTCACCCGACAGTGACGCCAATGGCAGGCCCACGGGACCAGCTAGCTCAACCACAAGCAGACCGAGTGATCGGCGTGCAGAAACTAACCCGTTGTTAATGACAGCCGATCAACTAGTTGACGAGATAGTAGCTGATCCAGATCGCGCTTGTCAGGCTATTAACAGACTAATGCGTACCCAAAAGGAATCTATCTCCGTTATGGAGAAGATCATTGAATCACAAAAAGATGCCTTAAAACTTGTATCACACTTGATCGATTATCCTGGTAAATATACTTGTACCCAAAAATGTATTGAAAATGTATTCATATTTTTTAATTTTGCAGGTGACGCACTCAAAATCATAAGCAAAATTATGAACTCGCCTTTCAATGCGTTAACAGTATTTACCAAATTTATGAGTTCACCGACAGATGGCCTTGAAATAATTTCTAAGATTGTCGATTCCCCTAAAGACGTAGTAGAGTTTATGCAAAACCTGATGAAGTCGCCGGAGAATGCCATTGACATAATGAACAAATTTATGAACACACCTGCTGAGGCTCTTAAAATGTTAAATCGTATCTTCAATGGCACAAACACGACAACAGAAACTGACCGGAAGCCCGTAAATGGGAATGGGGACAACAATGTCTTGGATAGTGGGGAGAAGGATTTGGGTCAATATCCGCAGTGTGACAAACAGTCGTCGGCAGTGCGCGTGGACACTGTCATACAGACCATGCTGCATGGCAGTCCATCGGGGAGCATAAGTAGCATAAACACGGGAGAGGCCGGGGTCACCTCGCCATTAAGCAGCATTGCTAGCCCAACCAGTAATATACCAATTGACTTGCACTATCAGTCACCCAGTACGACCTTAATGCCAGACGAACTGCCTAGCACATCGGGCAGTCATTCTTTGCCCTACATAGCCAATTCGCCAGAGTTCGATGTAAAGGGCTTTAATCAGCCCAGTTTTAGTGATGAGCTCAGCATGGACGGAAGCGTCAGCATTAACTCCATAGAGTCGGTGCTATCGGAAGTCATACGTCTGGAGTATCAGGCGTTTAATAGCTTGCAAGCTCCCGCTTCGCGCATCAAAGATGAACTGTATCATGCTGCTGGCGGCATGCCATCATCCTACATGAGTCAGGAGCAGGCGTATGGCGGCTGCAAAGGCACGCAGCAATATCTGCAGCACCAGCAACCAATTTGCGCACCGTCAAGCATTATTATGGAGCGCGACCTGAACGAGGCTGAGCAGATGAAGCTACGCGAGTTGCGATTAGCCAGTGAAGCCCTCTACGATCCAGTTGATGAAGATCTCAGTGCCTTGATGATTAACGACGAGCGTATTAAGGTGACCGACTACTCCATATTTTTGTCAAAAATCCAAATTTACACTCACACCTGCACGCTTGCTTATCTAATCGGGCGCAGCCAAAGGCGATAGACAGTTAGCACCTGGCGCATGAGTCAGTGCATCTGGCAGTTTCTGTGTGCCCAGCACGCACACCCTGCTCAATGTAAACAAAAAACATTAGGCAATGTCGCTATGAAATACACACACCTGTTGCTGAGCTAGGCCAGACACTTATGGATATCAGCAGTACGCACTACAGGCGGTTGATAGGTTTATCAGTCTCACGCAATCATTTCAACGGTACTATCACAAAACGTACTATCACCAGTCATAGCAGGCGCACATAAATAACCCCCAGTGGCCGAAGAGGCAAAACCAATTTCATGTTTGGCTGACTGGTAGCCTTTATGGCCATTGTATTGACTGTTTACCTCTGGTGTTCCGTTTCGATTAGCACATTTTGTGCTGCTAATTAGGAAAACTGATATATTTCGAAAAATGTAGAGCTCACAGGTGTACTACGCTCTGATAAGCGAAGGCGGCGGTTCTCAATATTGAATCATAGTTTATAGACAAACGCGATTGATGTGATAATTATTGTTATCATTTTAATTTACATTCAACCCCATTCACCCCATAGCCCGACGATGCGCGACAAAGTCCAAAGCTGTTACAGCTTATCAATCTAACGGCAGTGGCAATAAAGCGCCTCATTAAGATGGCCAAAAAGATCAGTGCATTCCGGGACATGTGCCAAGAGGATCAGGTGGCATTGCTCAAAGGGGGCTGCACCGAAATGATGATAATGCGTTCAGTGATGATATATGACAACGATCGAGGTGCTTGGAAAGTAAGTGACTGTTTCTCTTCACATATAAGTATGTTTGATAATTATGGCAAATACTCCTTGTACAGGTGCCACACACCAAAGAGAATATGGCAAACATACGCACCGATTTACTAAAGTTTGCCAAAGGGAATGTCTACGAAGAGCATCTAAAGTTCATTAGCACATTTGATGAAAAATGGCGAATGGATGAAAACATTATTCTCATAATGTGTGCCATTGTTCTTTTTTCACCGGCGCGAGCGCGTCTGATTCACAAGGATGCCATTAGGCTGGACCAAGTAAATTGTGCGCTTACTCACTAAATACAAATAATATTGATGGATCGTATTTTCAGAATTCCTATTATTATCTTCTGAGAAGATACTTGGAAAGCGTTTATCCGGGCTGTGAGGCAAAGAACGCGTTTATTCGATTGATACAAAAGATTTCAGATGTGGAGCGTCTGAATAAATTCATCATAAACGTATATCTGAATGTGAACCCTTCCCAGGTGGAACCTTTATTACGTGAAATATTTGATTTGAAAAATCATTGAGACAAATTTGGAATTGAGCATCAAATGCCACATAGAATAATCACTGGGCTGCTGTTGTTGTTGTTTCTATAGTCTATCAGCTACAATTGTTTTTGTTTTTCGCTTTAAAAGTTAGATTTAAATCGAATGTGATTATTAGATTTGCATATAAAACATAGTTTTTATATTTCTACATCAAAGAGAGTATATTTAGGTACAAAAAGCATAGCGAAATATAACATGTACACCTTTTAATTAGTTTTCAATAAACTATATTTAAAACCACACAACCACTTGAAGTGGGGAAAACAAAACTGAATGCGCAACAGCTGTGCCTTTTTTTTATGCCTGCCAGTTCCACAAATGCTTATTGCAATAATAACAAAATTAGCAACCGTTAACCCATATGTAAGAAAAAGATATTCAATGAAACAACCATTCAAATTTATTTTTTGTTTAAACGCAAGTCACAAAAGTAAGTTAAAATTTTGAAAGCAAATGTTGATATGTCAGCTAGCCAAACATCTCAAATCGTATGGATTTGGCAAAAACCTCACGCGTACCAATCGCAGAACCAGCAGAAATCGATGCTTTCTACTTCAAACGCTAGACCACGTCCCAATTTTACGTGTGCTACGGCTCTTGGCCGTAGCATACATAGTCAAATATGTCTAATGATGGTAATGTTGATAGAACACGTTCGCTCTTCACAGCAAGCATGCGCCGGGCGGATAAACCTATTACTTGGTAATTGTCAGAACGATATCTCAATTGCCCCTCAATATTGACGCTCAGGTTGATTCGCGGCAGTCGTTGGCCCATTGCAAGAACTCATCTAAGGCGCTGACAGCCAGGTTGCGGGCCAAAGCCTTAACGCGCAAATTTCTATCGGTGGTGATGAGCACCAGTTCGGTTTGAATGAAACATTTACCATCTGTAAGTAGACAATTCTGGATATATCACGGCTATCATGTATATAAAATGAGGGAGATGTACCTCGGCATTGCTCTGAGCTGGCATTCTTTGAAACAGCAACTGCGGTTGCGAGAATTTTATCATCATTGGAAGCATATTCTTCCTCAACGAGTGCAAACAACGAAGCATTTATAACAGATCCTTTTGTTGTAGCACATCTATAAAGAAAGAAAAGCATTAGAGGCGAACTTAAGATCATTTAAAGCTGATTGCCTTACTTAACGTTATGTTTGGCTGATCTTATAAACTCCAGTGATTTTTTTGCGCGCGATGATACCTCATCAAAATGATGAATGCGTTGTGTTTGCTTGGAGCTACGATACGAATCCAATTTGACGCCCTTAGATAGTCCATCTAGCTCTTTTACCACTGTCAGTGGTATGATAATCGTATATCGCTTGAATTCCATCGATAGCTTCTCAATATCCTCCAGACAATCGATAAAGCAATTGGTATCAGGCAACAGGTAACGTGGACGCACCTCAATGTACAATTTGGTATCGACCAATTTTAGAATTTGCTCTAGCTTGCTGTTGCAAATCTGCTTAACTTTGGCCTTTGCCTCGAGCTCCCTCTTCAACTTACAGAGCTGGGACACATCTGCATCTGCACTTATGGAGCAATTCGAGTCTACTTCCTCTATATTAGGCTCCGATGGGGAACTGTCCGTAGATGTGGATTCAACACAGCTGTCAAAGTTATTGAGTGCCACTTGCATGGCGGTGTTCAAATCCTCAACTGTAAAGTTCGAATTTATGGGTAGCTGCAATGATTCCTGATGCTGTATGTAAATCGCCTGGAACTGCAATATTTTCCGAATGCGTTCAACGAACTGTACACGCTCGGAGCCACGCTGGGCACCATCTCTGGCAGCAATATCCCGACCTAATGGCTCGAAGCCTTTCAACAATATATCCTCATCCAACACAACATTGTCTACTTTGCCATCAGTGTCCCTATCTACTTTGCTGTAGATAATTTCAAGGTGATCAAATAGAATTTGTAGCTCCGCCCAGCAGTCGATGAATGAGTGGCTAGTGAAATTTAATGGAATTATATTAAAAAACTATAAAACTATGCAAATTACGTTCGACTTACTCCTCTGAGCGCACAGGTTCCCAAAGATTTACATTAATGCTCAGCCACTGTGTATAGATCTTCACAAACTGCATATAGATATTGATGAGTGCTAATCTGCAATGGGACGATATTTAACAGATTTAATAGATCATATACTACGAGAGCACTAACAACACATACTCTTCATCTGTGAAGCATTGTAGATCGGTTGATTCGTCTGTGAAGCTGGCAAGCAATTGGTTGGCCCTATTAAGCACCACACCAAAAAATGTATTGGCAAAGTTGAAGCTGTGATAACGCATCTCACGACGATCAGCTAGAAATATGCAATTATAATCAGAAATGATCTGAGATGTTAAATCTGCATTTACCTTTAAGCTTGTTATGCTCCACAACGAATACGTTAAGCGCTACCATTTTCAAAATTTTACTCGACAACAGATTGTCATACTTTAAAGCCGAACTGAGTTGAATCTGCAGCTTACCCAGCTGCTGGTACATGCACTCAATACTGAAACAAAATAATTCAATTATAATAGACGTTGTGTTGAATCATTTACAATGCTTACTCAGTGGCTGTAAAAAGTTTTCCGACCAAATACAAATACACCGACACAACGCGTGCCACCAATTCCTGGGGTGGCATTACATCATAGCGGCTTACTTCTGATGTTGTTTTGTTTTTGGCCTTGGTTTTGAAATCGGTTCTATGTAGGCGTCTAATACCATCTGGATAGATCCAGATCTCAGTACGCATTTGCTTCGACTTCTTCGACTTGCTTGGCACGCAATGCATTGGCGACTGTTTCATCTCGGTTTCCTCAAATTTCCGGCGTATATCATCAAACAAATCAAGAAGGCTCTCCTTGGCTGATTGTATAGCATTTGAAGACAAAAGACTGCGCATATAATAATACACAGCATCGAACCGCTTGTGCTGTATAATAAATATTAGAAATAATGTTCAGTACATAAATTCAAATCAAAATACTTAAAAGAATGCATACATTATAAATGGCTATAATAGCCAGTTGATTGTACGGTGCTCCATTGCCAGGAATTAGCTCCTGCGCACGCTGATAGTATTTGGACGCCTCTGCAAAGTCTGTTGATTGCACCTGGTTAGCGCGATAGCGCGTCAAGTCGCCTAAACAGATAAGTAGACGCTGAGCGACTACCTTGACGGCGCTTTCACATCGTGCCGAGATGTACTTGTTCATGAGCTTGTCAAAAAGCGATCGATAAAACTTGATACTTTGATCAATAAGCAATAAAGTGTGACTTTGTGCAGTATCAGTATGTTGTCGCTTTAGATACTCCCGCACATTATAAAAGAGTAACTTCCAGAAGAATGCATCTACTTTGTGCTCACACACGAATTTGAGCTGATCCAGCAACAAGCAGGAAAAGGCCTCCTGCAGCTGTGCGTGTAGGCAGCAAAAGTTTTTCCAGTTCTAGAATCAATGTAATTATTATTTGAGTCATTCACTCGATTACAAGCACTTACGATAAGAATAAGATTGCGTTGCTGCAGTACCATTAGCTGATCGTACAATTGCACAATGATTTTTGCATTTGGCATGTTCAGAATCTGCTCAAACCAAACCGGGTGGTCGGTGGTAAGACGTACGCGTGACAGTGGCGACAACGGCGTTTGATTGTGCACCCGCGCAGAATGCGTACGGTTGCGCCTACGTGTTCCATGCCCAGCTCTCACGCTGTCTGCATTGGATGTGGCTATTATTGATGCGGGACTGGTATTTACCCGTAGTATGCCAGGTATTCCCAAATCCGTAGATTTTCTCTCCAAGGTGATGCTGGTTCCCCCGCTGGTATCCAAAACGGGTGCGGGTACCTCTCTAGACGTATTCCCAGCATTTTTCTTTGGCTTGCACAATATTTGGACTGTATATAAAAGATTGCGCGTGCAAACACAGATACAAACACACAATGAACAAAAATTGTCAGAGAATTATTGTGCGCTTAAGAGTGAGTCATGTCTCAAAAATACCTGGCCTTGTAATGGCTGGTGGAGTTGGTTCCGCATTTTCAGCATCCTCTGCTGCGTGGCTGTTGTGACTACAGCTTGCAGCGAATTTGTTCTGTAGCCGTTTCGGTAGAGTTCCAATGATTAGCGATATATCATTTTGATCTTTTGTTCCCTTTCGACTCATATTTTAAATGTTGCTTTTCCAGCTGCATTTATTCCGTTTTGGTTTTTTTTTAACGTGATTGGCCTTTGTTTTCGCTAATCAAAATATCACTCACAAGTATTACGCAGAAGTATCTCTACACAACTTTTAGTGTGACCAGATTGCACACATAAATTACATATGGTATTTAGCTATCGATAGAAATGCAGCCTATCAACAGCAGATGCTGGTGCCGTTCAGCACCGCCATTTAACATATCTCGAAGCAATTTTCAATAGAAAATTGGAACTACAAATATTTATTCACTTTATAGCCTACGGTATATGAGTTTTATTATTTTAAATAATATATTAAACCGAAAATCTACCCTGAACAATGTGACCAGCGTAGCGAAATACTTTACGGCGAATTCACCGTATGAGCTTCTTTTCACCTCGGACTTATCATACAGAAAATTTGGATCCACGGCGAATTGAATCATAAACACGGATGTTGAGGAGCTATTTTTCTTTTCTTAATAAATATTCCTGAGCGCTACATTGATATATTCTGTGTAAATAAAAATAATGGCTCAGGTTGCTTATATAGACAGCATGCTGCGAGAGTATCTAGTTTTTCGGGGGTACTCAAATACACTGAAAGCCCTGGATGTGGAGCAGCGAAACGAAAAGGATCAACATTTTCGTGCCGAGCGTTTAATAGAACATTTTAATGCTGCCGTGCAGTCGTCGGATCTAAAGGCGCTCCGCGCACTTTGGTTACACTTGGAGAACAACCTGTTTAGTAAGCTGGATCACACATATGCCACTGGTAAGGCTGAATGCTCTTCATGCATATTGATTTTTAATATTTTATTTATTTTGTAGCCGTCAAGAAGTTAGAAAACAGCCTGCTAAAGTATTATCTGGTGTCGGCGTACAGTAACAATAAATCTGACAAAATTTCAGAGTTCTTCAATAAATTGGCCAGCGAGCTGCAACAGCAAAGCGAATGGAAGGATTGGTTCTGTAAGAAAATCAACTATTTGGCTTTACAAGTCCCATTTAAAATGAAATTCCTTTTCAGTCTTCTCCTTTTGTAAAAATGCCGAAGAGTCGCCCATATTCGCCCTCTACTTTACCAAGCAGTGGCAGGACACGCTGCTGCTGTCATTGCGTAACTTTCTGACCACTGTCTACCAGTGCCTGCCACAGCCAACCTTTGTGCGAGCCGAGCAGGAGGCTGCGTACATGCAGCGGCTTCAGGACGACAACACCCGACTGCGCGCCCGCCTGCTGCAGCTGCAGCAGGAACAACAGCAGCAGCAACAGCAATTGGCCAGCGCATCTAGTTCACAGAATCTGAGCGGTGGCGAGGGCAGCAGTCGTCGTCGGAACGCGTGCCGACATCAACAGAGCCTGAGCGACATCTTGCCCTTTGACATCAGTCCACCGGGTCACATAGTTGATGACTTTTGTATTATTGCCTCCGAGGCGAACATTGTGGGCCAAGCCAGCGAGGGGCAAGCAAGGGGACTTAAATTGCTCATACGAAACATTGGGTCGGGCAGCTCCCCGGTGCTGTCACGCAAGGATAATGGCGGGGACAAGTCGTCCAGCAAGCATAGATCCGGTAGCGTAGGCCGAAGTTGGATTTAGTTGAGTTTTAAATGAATAAGCAGTGGAAAAGTTTTTGATTTCGTTAAATATTTTATTTATTTGCGCTTCCTCCTAATCGAATAGACGTACAAAATAAAGAGCAAATGCATTTAAGGTATTATTTAATTGCAATAAATAACGTAAAATTACAAATAAATATCTGACGAGTCGTGTATAAAATACTTTGATCTATACAAGCGGCACATTTTAAAAAAATACAATTTACTGTATAAGGGATATAATTGTATATAGCATTCATTCGGTAAGTATATTTATATCTAGAGCTGTATAAGCTGTATAATTTTGCATAAAGTAGCATCGATTTTGACTTGGAACGTAGACATGCGTTCCCTTTAATATATATTATATAAGTAAATGCTATTTTCCAGCGTCCATCCATCGGTGCTGAGGGGAAGTGGGCGAAGCGCCAAGTGCGATTGCTTATCTAGATTTACGTTTGCTTATGGAATATGTATAAATGTACGTATGTTCCTATGTATTTATGTATGTATGCATATGTATATTTATATGATTGCGGGAATTTCCCATTTTCCACCTCCCCCTTCCTTAGACGGACAACAGCGACAGGTTTGACCCGCATTTGCTGTCCCCATCCTCAATTCCTTAGAGCGCCGTCTCAAAAGCTGGCAGTGATGTGGGCGCACTCACATATTTATTGCTCTCTGCGCTGATTGCTCCAACTACTGCAGCCGAGGCACCGCCATTCCTGCCAAAGTTGGGCTTCAGCTCGCCCCGCATAAAGTTATTCTCCTCGGTTTGCAAAAAGAAATTCCGCTTCAGATCGAAACTGGAGACGGCCACGGAGCTGGGACTATTGCTGTTGGCTACGGTGCACGCCGCCGTCTCATCCGCCTCGGAGCCCGCCCGGGATCCGCCGCTGTTATTGGAGTGATCCTCGTCGCTGTTGGCCTCCGGTATTGTGGTTGACATGATGTCCGTGCGTGGCACAACGGACGCGACCGCTGCATTGGGTCCGCGTATTTTCGGCACAAAAGTCTTGGAGGGCGAACCGAATTGGCCCTGGCGCAACATTCTGCGGTTGGCAAACGTCTTTGGCGAGCCGCTCAGATCGAGCAGCTTTAAGCTGGAGTTCAGCGTTGGCTTCGACGCACCAGGCGTCGCAGTGGCCGTCTTCTGACCCGGCCCATTGGCATTGCTCGTCGGCGCCGAGGTCTTCTTGAGCAACTCCACGGCAGACACCTTGCGCTGCACGGGGCTCGTCTTGGCGGATTTGGCCAGCAACAGCTTCTTGAAGTCCATCAGCGTCGTCTTGCTCTGACCAATGCGATCCGCACATGTGTTCAGTCGCTCCGGCGCATCATCTTTCCAGTTGCGTGACGGCTGCTTCATGGGCGGCACATTCTCCGTGGCGCTCGTCTCAGACCGCGTGGGCGTTGAAGTCAGAAAGACGCCGTTGCCATTCCCTGGCACAATGGGCGACATGTTGCTGCCGCCATTAGCTGTTGCTGAAGCATTTCCGGGTGTGGCGGCTGCTGCGGCAGCTGCACGTGCTGCACGATCGGCACGTCGTATGGGCGTGGCATAGAGATCATCCCGGCATGTTGCATTGCCGCTGGACAACGGCTTTGGCTGGCTGCGTCGGCTCTGCAGTGTCCAATAAACGGGCGCATTGCGCTGAAAGGGCGTGGCATCGCTGGCCTGTGTATTCAACTGTGCGGGCTGCACTTGCTCATAGATATTAGAGAAACGTTGATACCCTACGGAAAACAAAAGGTCAAACAAAATTCTTTAATGGAAGTTGAAGTAATTTTGCACAGAATTGCATTAGCTGTTTTAGTAGGCGTTTTGTTTTTGGTTTTTGTTCTCTTATTAAGTGCATTTACCCAGTAAAAGGAGGAGGATAACTCAATTGATAAAAGCATTCAAGCAATGACAAACCGTACGTACCTGTGGGCCGCTTTTACCTGCCTGTGTGGAGCGAGTGTATATATATGTACAAGTGGTGCAATGGATGCGTTGCATGATGGCGGGTTGGGTGGGTTGGTGGGTGTGGTGCGGTGCAGTGTCTATGGTATAACCATGCCCATTTTATGCAGTGAATGAATCAATTTTCTTTTTTTTCAAAGCCAATGATTGATGCGAGTTTCTATTTTTCTTTTTCTTTCAGTTTTCTTTTCTTTTCTTTCAATTTTATTTTTATTGTTGCATTACTTACGATCGGTGGGTTTAGTTTTTGTATGGAATGTGATTGAACTTAGGAGCTCTACTTAGCTAAGTATGTCGTACTTAAGGTGTTTAACTTATCGTTTGCAAATTAGGCGCTAATTTTTTAAAAATTAAGCCAATAACTACAAACTGTTATGATTCTCGTTAGTTGGGCAAGGTGCAAAAAACTACTACTACTACACAATACATATATATACACACACATACATAAACAATCAAAGTTACGCAATAGAAGTTTTCTGCACGCTTGTTAATTGATGATTGGATTCATAAACAAAACATTCAATTTTCCAATTTTAAATTTCGAATCTTAAAAAATTAGCGTCTTAATTTGTGTTAAATTTATCAACTTAATGCATACAGGTGATAATTATTTTAATTAATTTAATTTTTTCTTTTAACAAAACATAAACGGTGCAAAAAACTTTATCAAACAAATCAGCTTAAATATTATAATTAGTTACAGTTAGGAGTTGACATTAGTTGACAAAAAAAAAATAAAATAATAAAGAAACATATAGTTTAAGTACACACACATAACACTTAATTACAGGTGATGGTTAAGTAAAGGCAAACAGTTAGTTAAACAAATCAAAATTTGTGCAAAATTTGTAAATTTAAAAACGGAACAAAATTTGCATAAATATTATGAATACAAAAATATGATATTAACAAACTTTAGTTATTTATAAAATAGCTCGCATTTCAAGTGTACAGCTGAAAGAGAATTTAAGCATTCGATTTGACTCCTTTTGCAATGATCTGGCAACGCCAGCACTTGCCATGCACTTGATAAATTGACTACGACTAGCGTGTGGCAAGAGCCGTTACAGAAGACAAACTCCTGGATAGCTCAGTGAGGTCTGTTCGTAAACTGAATGGAACGAGCTTGGCCATTGAACTGCCAATGAATAGCGTTAGGAACTCGCCTCTGGCAACACTAGCCCATTGAACACGTACGAAACAAAGAGTTGGCTGTGTGTGCTGACTAAGAGACTAGGAGACTAACAGAAAGGATGCCAGACCACAGCCAAGATAGACGACAATTACTGTGTAGTGTTTGCTCAAGACGCCCACTTGAGAGCGTGCGGCAGAGTGGAGGCTGGCGTGGAATGGTTTCCAGCTGCATGAAGAGAGACTGCAACTGTTGTTGCTGCGGCTGCTGCTGCTGCTGCTGCTGCAGCTATTTTCTAACTAAAGGTCAAGTTAAAGACAAGTTAATGAGCCGCTGCGCTTTACCAGATTTCCGTTACCTCAAACTTTTGCAAGAGGCGTTGGCGTCGAGCGCCGTTATCCTCGTTGGGCTTGATTATTCTGAAGGGTCGCAGCAAGACACTCTCCACAAAAGACCTGTGGTATCTGCTGTGTGGCGTGGGCATGTGCGGCTCTGGCCCCGACTCGTCCTCCTCATCGGAGTCCGAGTTGCTGGCATTGCCGTTGCCATTGTCTGGCTGCACGTCGCCGTCTGCCACATGAAATGCGGTTGAGTCATCAAAGTTCTCTAGCGACTTGTTCTTCAAATAGGAGGAGTCAATGCAAGTGGTCGACAGGGAGAACTCATCGACCAGGCGCTCGAAGGATTTGGCGATTTTGCGTTCGGCTGGGCTGCCTGAATTGGTTGCCTTTGCAAGCAACTGCAAGGTGTTCAGGTTGCGCAACTTGAGCGAACTTGTTGCATGCGACATGGGGGGCAATGCACTGTTGGCCGATGCTGCCTGCAAATAGTTTTCCTTATTCATCTCCAGCTTCAGCTCGTCGTTGGCCAGCCTATAGCTGTTGTTGCGCTTCAGCGCCACAGAGCGGCTTTTGCTCTCAGTGGGCGTGGGCGTGGGCGTGGGTGTGGGTGTGGGCGTGGAGGTGGAATTCGTGTTGGGGCTGGGGCAGATATCAGTTGCATTCGAAATGGAAAACTGCGTTTCAGCAATTGGGTCAATCGATAATGTCGGCAAAGTGGGCGTGGGCATTGCAACGGCCCCTGCTCGGCTAGCAGCTTTCCCATTTACTTTCATTCGGGGCGGCAGCTGTGGCGGTGGTGGGGACGCTGTTGCTAGCTGGGGGCTGAATTGGGGGTTAGTTGCTGTGGCAACAGCAACCCTCACTTGCGTGCCACACTCTGTGGGGGGACTTGGCTGTACACTTGAAATGCTGCTCATTGATGCGAATTTTGACTTGCTGAGCAACAAATTTGTTTGACTGCTGTTGTTGTTGTTGTTGTTGTTCATGACGTTAAAAGTTGGTGTTGTTGCTGTTGTTGTTGATGTGGTAGTAGAGTGTAGTAGCGTATTATTTACAATGGCAAGGTTTGGGTCTAACAAAGCGGATAAGTTATTGCAGCTAGAATTTAATTGTTGTTGTTGCTGTTGTTGTTGTTGTCGTTGCTGTTGCAGCTGCTCTTGCTCTGACAGTAGTTGTTGTTGTAGTTGTGTCGTTGTTGTTGTTGTTGTTGTCGATGTTGCCTTACCTTCTTCCACGGAACTGACTGACGCCGTCGTCGCCGTCGATGATGAGGAGCTGGTGGCCGTGGAGCCCGTCGATGAATTGGATTTGCCCGATGGCGACGGCATCATCATTCCAGCCGGTGCAACCGGTGCAATTGTCTCGTAAAACGGATTCGTATTGTTGGCCAGCAATTGCTTCTGGTCCTGGTAGCTGCTGTTGCCTGGCTGATAGGCGGCCGTCATGGTGCTGCTGGCGGCTGTCGTCTTGCTGAGCGGCGATTTGGCTAATATGGGACGCACATTGGCCACTTTGCGATTGGCCGCGATGCCGCTGCCGCTTAATAACAATAATTTGGCGCTCTTTGTGGCTGCTGTTGTTGCTAGTCCTGTGCCCGCTGCTGTTCCCGTTGCACTTTCACCCGTGACGTCTCGCATTGCACTGAGCAACGCACTTTCGGTTTCCTTCACGTACGGCCCAGGTGCGAAGGTGGTGTGCGCTCCCTTGCG